GAGCCTGCAGGTGAACTGTCCCCAAGGGTCTTTTGTACCTATCGGCTGTTCAAAAAGCTAGTAAATACTTCGTTGATGGATTAGCTTGAAGTCAGAAAGTGGTGGTAAAAGTCACAGTAACACAGCCAGCATTTGCATAAGATAACCAGCTTATCACATGCTTGTATAGTCTTAACTGTTAGCTGAGGAAGGGACAGCACCTCATTTGATGGGTGAGGAAACAGACTCCAAGTGGAAATGTTACTTGCTCCTGTTCTCCCATGTTTTCAAACTGTCAGCCTGGGTATCCCTCTACTTCTCAGTCCTTCCACCCTGGTAACCTTACTGCGCCTTCACCTTTGGCTGGCCCAGGCTGGCAGCCTGCAGTGCTGGTGTTTGCTGGGCACTGCTCCTGGCCTATGAGAGGCAGCACCAGGGACCAGAAGTGTCTCAGACATTTGTGACTGGCTGCGGAGCAGGGGCAGCTGCCATCCCAGTCCAGCCGCTCTTCCATCGCATCCAGCAGCCCAGGAGCTGTGCTTTTCCAGCTTAAAAAATGTGTAGCGTTTGCTAGGGTGAGACTTCCCTGCCTGGGGCCAATTGCAGCAAGCCCTTTTTACTTTCTCTTCTTTCAAGCCATGTATTTAGTTCCTAATTCCTGGCCAAGGCCTGTGGTCGGCAAATAAAGATGTCAAGCAGCTGCCTGCTGCTGAGCACACAGATCTGCATACTATGCTAGCCCTCAGTGCTTCCTGCCAATACTGCCTGCCTTCATTTCAACCCCATTTAGACTTAGAATGGAGCCTGCAACACCTACTAAATCATGTTTTCATCCTTAGAAAGGCATGCATACTTACTGCAAACAAACACAGAGAACTTCAACAATTTTTCTCTTAATAAATACTTCCTGACCAGGCGGTGGTGGCACACGCCTTTAATCCCAGCACTCAGGAGGCAGAGCCAGGTGGATCTCTGTAAGTTCAAGGCCAGCCTGGTCTACAGAGCAAGCTCCAGGACAGGCACCAAAACTAGACAGAGAAACCCTGTCTCAAAAAACAAAACAAACAAACAAAAACTTCCTGAGAACTTGATATGTTCTGTTTCTTAGGCGGGATATAATCAATACAGACCTAAATAACATATTATCTATTTTCCCATCACTAAAAGATAGAATGTTAAGATTTTGGCATGTTATGCATATATGAAAGAAGTTGAAATGGAGTCACCATATAATGAGGGAGACAGTGCCCCAATTAGACATCTTATGCCACCAAGTAAAACCTCCACTGCCAGGAGTGGGTTACATTTTGTTGAGTCCTTGTCCAAAAAGGTCTCATAGACCAGCCCCCTAAAAAAAAAAAAATCACAAGCTATTGCTAAAACTACTGATTACTCTCTGTACCCCGATGGTAGGGCTCTGCTGCTAAAGACAGCTTATGTCATCACAACATGTGTAAATCAAGGTGGTGCCCAACTAGAAACCTCACCCCTGCCGACTAGTTGTCGTGGTGCTAGAAAGTACTTTTCATGGCCCCTGAGAGAAAAGTGATCACTTTTACCAAACTGTAAACCCTGTGGCCTACGACAGGGGCGCCTGCAAGATGGACTGATGTAATAGTGACACACTACAGGATGACCAGAGTGCCCCTTCATTTTGTTGTTTGCTTTTGATTCAAGGCCCCTTCCTTGTGATGAAAACCCATGCATGACTCTGATAAAGTGGCCAAGAAACTGAGACTAGATAGGTCATGGGCCTAGGGGAAAACGTACTATTATTATTCTGCTAAAGGAACCTAGCAATAAAATTACTCCTAGTGACATATTTGCAATACCCGTAGGAAAGAGCATTGCTCAACCCTCATCAAAGAAACTTCTCGCAGTAGATGATGATTAGCGCAGAGACCCACAACTGGTCAGTGTGCAGAGAGTGGAGCACTCAGTCCTTAAAGGGTTGTCTTTGTCAAACTCCTCCCTCAAGTCAGAGGGATCTGTGTGGAAGAGGAAGACAGGTAAGACTGTAAGAGACAGAGGGAGGGAGTGACTCCAAGGAAGAAGCAAAGCGGTGCTCAGCACAGCAGGCCTGGCAGACACACCTGTGAAGTCTCAGACCGTGACAGCGGCACACGGCCTGCACAGGGTCACACCACACAGAATCCAGCCTGGAGAAGAGGAAGTGGACACAGAATCCCACCCTAACCAAGACGCTATTTGCAGTTATGCCTTCTGAAAAAGGGAAAATCAGTTTTCTCCAATGGAGTATCACTGGGTGTATCAGCCACACTGTAGGGATGCCCCATCTCCAAGAGTGATTGACCATTAAAC